TCCATTATATACCAGATTTCAAAAATTGAGACCAAATTTTTCCCTTATGTACAAACTGGATAGAGGTGTACCTCCTCCCCCCCCAAAAATGATAATCTCTGCTATTTGGTATCTCCTACAGCAAATACTAGAGATGATTCAGAAAATCCAGGCAAAGTAGAAGCAATATATTTTGCAACAATTATTCTTCCAATGAGTGACTTGTAAATTCTCTCCCACCCCACGTTAAACAGGTAAGTGAAGTAGCTTCCCAGTTGTAACTGTTACATGTGAGATTCAGATCATCGACACCACGCTTGCATTCTACATAAGGTTACAAACACATACACCTCAAATTCAAAGTCTGAAGAAAGGTTTCATCCCAACTATGGGGAAAAGGCTTCAAACCGCACGCAGGCTGCTGAAACCTGGTTTGAATATAGCACAGCATATATAGCAATTCCGGCTTTCAAGCAAATGATCCAGTTCACACATAATTGCATTCAATTCACCCTTATTTCATTTCTCCATAAATTTGATCTTTACTTTCATTTTAAGGTAGGCAAGTAATCTGACAACTAAACAGAGCTTTGGTAAACTGGACTACATAGTACCTGTGAGAAAAATAGCTATTTTTAAGATTCTAACTGCTACAGTGGTATTGATGTGATCAAACCCCTTAAGCAAGACAGACCTAATTTACTTTTAAATGTGGGATTAAAGGCTTAATCTGGTAGAAAGTTGAACCTGTCTCCCGTACGTAGTGAGAAGCCCATTCTGTCACTGTTGCAGTATGCCTAGTCCTTCGCCTGCCCTGCCTACACAAACCTCCTTTGAAAAAAATAATTGTCCAAAGCTGTGTGTTCCACTTAAATCCTTAATCTTTCAGACATCTTTAAAGCTTGGGAGTACTTGAAAGCAGCAGGAAACATGAAACATCTTCTTAGAGCATCAACTTCACACTAAACATCTAACATTAACACAAAGTGCAGAATTCATACTCGTTAACACTCGAGAATCCCCCAGAGCTCCCGCCATCACCTGCAGTTCCATCCGTATTTGAAGTTCTACATTGAAATTCCTGTCACCTTTACCATAATAAAGCACAACCCTTAACCTATTTTTGACAGGTCACACATTTTGAGCAAGTTCTTCCCTAGATAAGGCTATGTAGCCAAAATGAAGGTGGGGCAGACGTGATTTTAGCTTAACAGGACTAACAATATTTACAACCACGTAACTCTTAAATAGAATACTCCTGTTGGCCCGCCATATCCAGTTTGTGACATGATTCAAATATACAAAAAAATAAAAAGTAGACCCTAGGGAGAAATTCACCTAACAGATTTCAAACTATATGAAATCAATAAATTTTAATATTAACATGGCATAAACTTCCCTATGTTAGTGGTTTTAAAATGCTTATAAACAAGGGATGAGCTCACTTGCTTTAGATATTTGAAATACAACTTTATTCTGATTCTAAACGAAAAGGAATGGGAAGGACAGTTAACAAACAGGATTTCACCACTAAACATTGTGATGTGACTGTAGCAGTCTTATATTTGAAACTCAAGGAGGAATCAACTGCGTTCCAGAACAGCTAAATATGCAGGTCCAAACAATGAAGGTATTTTTTTTAACTGCCATTCACTCCGAAGCCCATTCATCTCCTTCAGCATCACACAGATGAAGCACATGTTCCATTTAGCTAGATAATAAAGTGGCACACACGCTGCACCGCTGACATCACAGGACAGCCTATAAAACTAGACTTCTGACGCTGGGCTCCAGCTTCATCTCACAGATCATCGTCCTCATCCGGGAGAGCGGTTGTCTGGGCCACCTGGAGAAAGATGGAAAACGGTGACACTCCAAATTAAAACCACAGCAAGAGAACAAGGCAAACCCAACTCCTTAGCAAAGCGGACGTGATACCTCTAAGTCGTGCTCATACTGCGCTGCCAAGGCCGGGTCCATGACCACCTCTGGTGGGGCGAGAGCAGGCATGGCGACGAACTCCAAGTTAGGGTCTCCAATGAGCTTTCTAGCAAGCCAGAGGAAGGGCTTTTCAAAGTTGTAATTACTTTTGGCAGAAATGTCGTAGTACTGTTTAAAACAAAAGTAAAATTAATCTGTTAATAAAACAATGATTATTCTGAAGACATTCCAAGCTAAAACATAAAATTCTTTCAATTAAAATATGAATCCATGGAATTTACTTTGGGAAGAATAAAAGAAAAACAAAAGAAAAAAAAATATGAATCCGTTAATGAAACAATGATCATTCTAAAGACATTTGAAGCTAAAAGATAAAACTTTTTCAATCCATACATATAAATGAACAATAAACTTTGCAGTCCTATCTACTTATATACATCATCTTCTCTAAGAATCAATCGTAATTAAGTAAATAAGAAGCTTTAATTTTTTAACATACCTGAAGATTCTTCTTTCGGTGGAAGACAATCGATTTTGCCTTCACTTTCCTGTCCTTAATATCCACTTTGTTGCCACACAACACAATGGGGATGTTTTCACATACTCGTACCAGATCTCGATGCCAGTTAGGCACATTCTTGTAAGTAACTCTTGATGTTACATCAAACATTATGATGGCACACTGGGCTATAATAAAAATGTATGGTAGTTAGTACAAACCTAGGAGATCGTGACATGGATGAACAATGGATGAACCATGGGCTAGGACTCAATTAGTCTCAGACCTCACTCTGGGTCACCTAGATCTCTTCCCCAGTATCTCAAGGTCTATTCCAACTCTCAGTGTTGAGTTATTGTAACACACAACATAGCTCACAATTTCTTTTCAAAACATCTTGAAAAACCAGCTTACCCTTTCAAATCTCTTCCCCTGAAATACATCAACACACCTCATCCTCAAAAAGCATCTAAAGTATTTTAATGATACATCACCATTCCATCACCATTCCAGAGAATCCACCTCCCATATTCTGAGTGTGAGGCCTGGAAATACATTCTTTAAAAGGGTGAATACACCAGGGAGCACACCTCTATTTAAAAAAAAATCCAGATCAAGTCTACGTTTACCTGTAGGGATAGCTATGCTACAACTAATTAGGCAACTCACCACAAAATATGTACAGTGCAACACAACTTTCTTACTAAAAAATGTGGGGAGGTAAAAAATTTTTTATTTGTATATGCTGAATGAAAGCAAAAGGAAGGATTCACGGTAATTTTTCATTGAGAAAGTGAGATCCCAGAAGATAACTTTATTCACCTTTATGTGTGACATAATAAACATTCACTTCCTTTGTCAATTTTCTAACAAGCCCTCTGAAAAAAACATTGTGTGAAACTTAGTACAAACAGTAAGAAATCCGCGGGGCTTCTATGCGTAACCCTTGAGAGGTGGACAACAGCTACCTCTTCTGGTTTAGCATGTGATCAAAGCATGTATTCCCTATCACCTCCAGCATATACCTACCTAAACCTCCATCTCCAAACACTGAAACTGCACCCCCACCGGCTTTGACATTACTGTCACTGTTCCAAGGTGCGGGGCCTTCCTGAGTCCCAGTGTGAGCCATACAGCGTGTATTCAAAACCAGGGCCAGCCAGCACGCCAACACACGACACAAGTCAACTTTCACTGAAATCTCCTCCGCCCAAACGGTGGTCAGCCCCGCAAAAGCAGCACGTCTTTTAACTCAAAAGCCACACCGCCTCCGTCACAGCGGGCATTCAGGCGCGCAGCCTGCCGCAGCGGACCTGGCCGTGTCTAAACGACCTCGGGGAACCGGGGCGGGACCCGCTGGGACGCACCTTGGATGTAGTAGCCGTCCCTCAGCCCCCCGAACTTCTCCTGGCCGGCGGTGTCCCACACGTTGAACTTGATGGGCCCTCTGTTGGTGTGGAACACGAGCGGGTGGACCTCGACTCCCAGGGTGGCTGCAACGGGAACACGTTCCCCGTCGGTGGAGACCAAGTCCCCACCGGCGGAGCCGGCCGGTCCGCGCCTCGCGGGCGCCCGCGACCCGGTTCTCCCGCACGCACGTACCTACATACTTCTTCTCGAACTCGCCGGTCAAGTGGCGCTTCACGAATGTGGTCTTCCCGGTGCCGCCGTCGCCAACCAGCACGAGCTGCCGGGAAGTGACCCCGAAACGTTCCGCATCTTCCGAACCCCTCCCCCGCAGTCACGGGGCCCGCAGACGGGCTCGGGACCACCATTTCCCGCAGCTTTAGGCCCCCAAAGCGAAGGACGGGGCCCGGGGCCCGGCTACCCCTCGTACGTGCCCCGGGCCTCGCGGCGCCCGCCCCGCACCCCGCGATCCGCGGGCCCGGGAGCCGCGTCCACGCGGGCCCCGCGCCCCGCAGGGCTGCCTACCTTGAACTGGACCTGCGGCTCTCCCTGGGCGGCCATCGCGGCGTTCCTGCGGAGGAGAGCGCGCGTCGGGCGGCGGGCCGGGCAGGCCGCGGGCCACACCGAGCGGCTGCGGCTTTTGTTCCAATTCCGCACGCCAGGGGCGCGGGCCTGGGCGGGGCCTCCGCGGCGGCTCTGTCCCGGGCGGCGGCCCGAGCTGAGCTCAGGAGGCGCCGGGCGTGGTGCGGCTTGGTAGATGAATGGAGGTCAAGGAATGCAATCGGAACGAGTCCTAAGCGGGGCCTCCTGCGGTCCGCAGTCCGCCGTCGGCGGTGCTCCACAGGGCGCGGTCGCACGCCCGGGGCGGCCCCGCTGCCGCGGGAGGGTTCACAAGCTCCGGGCCCGGGGCCTCCGCGCAGTCGAGGGGTGGCTGGGGCGGCGCTCCGCCAGGGCGGGGGCGCGCGCGCGGCACAAGCGGGAGAGTAGCCATGAGGGAGAGGGAGGGGGAAGGGGTGCAGGCGCGAGGGAGATAGGGAGGTGCGTAGGGGTGCCAGGGTGGAGGGGCAGGGAGGAGGGGTGCAGGGGAGAAAGGGAGTGCAGGGAGGGAAGAGGGAAAGGAGCGTGCAGGGGGAGGGA